TCATGAAATTCGACTTCGAAAGGTTAGATTTTAATAATAACTATAATAATAATTAGCGCACACTTCTAGCATCACATCAAAGCTACTTGAAAAAAGTATTAATCAACAGGATCAACATTTTTAGATTGAAAAACAAAGAAATCGTCAAAGTTCTTCAAATTCACAAGTGTACGACTTTACCGTGCTCTTCTATGTAGTCCAGACATTCTCGAACAACGCCAGGTAATTCAACACCGTCATGGCAACGATGACGTTCCACGGCCAAATGCAATGGCACTCCAAAAATAGGTTGTTCTGCAAAAGAGGACGACAGAGAAACAGTCAAAAATCAAAATACTTGACTATTTCACCTAGATCAACATTTTACCAAAACAAACGTACAGCATCGTTTTTTTTTTATTGTGCACACCCTGCCCTAGAACTGTTTCAATCATTAATAAATTCAGATCACTTTTCGTTTTAGTTCAACCCCAAATAGTCAACTTCTACAAATAGTGACCTATACTTACTGTAACTAAGGTAATAAAAAAGCTAGCAAAATGCAACTACAGTAAAATCTGGTTATAAAATTTCTCAGGCACCTATTGAAAAATGTGTAACAACAAAAATGTTTTACTGAGAGTCATGATTTCAAGACATTTCAGACTGAAATTCTGTGAGAAATGGATTAAAAAATACTGCAAAATGCATCTAAAGTACAACAAAAAATTCAAAATCTGTCTAATTGTATCTCTCCCTCTCTAATGAAGTGAAGAGAAATTTTTGAATAAATCGTATTGTACTGTACTTCTCTTTTATTGGACCTGTCTTCCACTAATGCGCTATTTTTCTTGAAAATAGAATGAAACAAAAGTACTTTGTGAGCAAAATACGTCATTCCAAATTGACTTGAAATTCAAACTTGTTTGAAATAAATGAAAAGTCCTTTGAAATGGTGGAGAATGCTTTCCAACCAACAACAATTTATCTTAAAGAAATGCATACACCAAATTGAGCTAAAGAACTCCCAAAAAAATGTCACATTGTGCGTTCTTTTCAACATAAAATTTTCTCTAAAGAAAGTTTTGCTTCTTCAGAGACATTTGAATGCTGCACCAGTTCAACTTTCTCCATTTCACCAACATTCATGAATTACTGTAATCTCCATGTTCGTATATGGCCTATGCACAGAATCAGGACCGAAAATTCGATATACTGAGATAACTGCCGAGAATGAGTTTATCAAAACAAGATTTTTATGAATGAACGTCTATGAAAAAGCTACAGTGCTGAGACAAAGAAACATTTTTAACGAGATTCGTTGTAATTACATGTTACGGAAGCTGATTCAGGCAAAATTTATGCAATTTTTTCCTAGGTTGGCGATTCAAGTGGCATCTGACCGAAATTTCAGAGAACAGACCTAAGTAAAACACTGAGCTTCTTTTCACTCGAGATGTCTGAGACTGTACTATTTTATTCGCCACGACATAGATGTCGCCTGGTTTTCAAAGAAGCATTTGTTGGGCTGGACATTTCATCAGGCTTTTTTTTTGTGCCAGGTTGGCGATTCAAGCGGCATCTAATTGAAATTTTCCAAATCAAGGTCGGACGTCAAAAGTGAATCGAAACCGAGGGGGGAAGAATTTCAACAGGAAATTGAAGGTTCAATGATCGGAAGAATTCCATTCCGGTCATTGCTCTCATTCAAACTCGTGCCATTCCGTTCGAATCGTTTGACATTACTACTGAGACATAACCATAGAAGTCCAGGATTCGGTACGGGCGTTTTACGACGCATAAAATAAGAAAAAAGAAAACAATTTTCATAATATTTACGGGCACAATTAAAAAACCAGGTTTTTTTTTTTAAATAGAATACTAACCGTATTCAGTGGGCTCCTCGACGTCATGCTTGGTTACTTTTCCCTTCTTGTCCTTGATTGCCAACTTGATCTTGGCCTTCCCATCATTCTTCTCCTTCTTCTTCTTCTCTTTGGCAGAATCGTCCGTGTCTCGGTCTTTGCCGTGAGCATCTTCTTCCTTCCGCTTCTCCTTCTCTTTCTCCTTCTCCTTTTCTTTGGTCTTCTCCTTTTCTTTCTCCTTGTCCTTTGCCTTCTCCTTCTCTCGGTCCTTGTCCTTCAGCTTCTTCTCGTCCTTGTCTTTGTCCTTTTCTTTCTTCTCCTTTTTAGACGAGGTGAACTTGAATGATTTGGTGGATTTCTTCGTCTTCGATGGACTCCTGCTTCGAATCGAGGCAAACATTGAAAGGCAACGTGGAAAAAAAGAAGCACAACGGGTCGCGATTTTTCTCGAACACCTTTTGGCAACGAGGGATTCGAATCTTTAGAAATCAATGTCTGGTGATACAATAAACAATTTTTTTTAAAAAGAACAAACTTTTCAAAGTCCCAACAGAAAGCCCAAGGAGAACATGTTGAAACAATCTTGTTGAAAACAATTCCCAAATTACGGTATGAATAGTTTTTTTTCAGGAATGTTCAATAGATTTTCCAGGTAGAAATTTCCGATCCCAAAAGTAACTGACTGGTTTTTGCAGCAAAAATGAAAGCTGTAATCGATGACAAACATGCTTCCGAATGGTTCCACACATCATCACATCTCCTAAAATGAAGATACTGATGCAACTGTAGGAATTCATGATTGAAGATATCATTTTTTTAAATCCCTGTTTTTCAAAAAATAATACACATTTGAAAATGTCAGAAAAAACAAGATTTAATTGATTATAGGAAGGCCAGTTGTAAAAAATTTTTCCAGTCGATAATTTTGAAATTTTTAAAACTTTCCTGTGTATTAAGTTATTTAGTGCAACAAACTTTTTCCGGAGTCCCCAAAAGATTGTTGTAACAAGATTTTACTGCAGATGAATCTCAAGAAATAATCAATGAAATCGAAATACTGCATAAGCAAGCATGCAAATTCATCTCGAATTTCTTCATCAATTGCAAAAAATTATTATTTGCAAAAAATTGTATTTCCTTCGTCCTATTCCAACTGTTCTGCAAAATTAAAATAAAAAACCAACAAAATTTTGCGCTCAGAAATTTGAAATTCTGCAGCCGAAAAAAACCATACTGCAAGAGATAATTTAATCATACTTTTCTCCACTATAAAATATACAGGCAAAAAAAAATGATATCTCGATACACAATCAAACTTTTTCTTTAAGTCGTCAAAGAGTTTGTCGTACCGAGATTTCACTGTATGCGAACCCCGTACAAAGTGATACTTGAGAGAAGAAAAAAAACAGGCACAACAAATCGACGACGTTTTGGTTCGTTTTCTCAAGTGAAATCCATTTTCGACGAAAGTCTTTCTGAAGTCCACAGGAGTTTGTTGTAAGGATATGTCACACTTGTCCGTGGACTGTATAATTTATATCCCTTACACGGTGACATTAAAAAAATAAAATAAAAACGAACCGAACACGGTTCGGCTCGTTTTCTCAAGTACAATCCAATGACACAAACTTTTTTCTCGAATCCCCAAAACGTGTGTCCTCAAGAGATTTTATGGTAAAGTACATGTACGTGGAGCCCTGGCAAAGTGAGATTAAAAATAAAAATAAAAAAACATTCCAAAAACGAATCGATGACGTTTCGGTTCGTTTTCTCGAGTGCAATCCAATGACGACATGGGAGTGGAAGCTGGAAAAATTCCGATTCGACATTCCCAAGCGGAACACATGAAACAAAAAACAAAACGAAGCAATAAATTATAGTATTAAAAAAAANTATTAAAAATATAACATTCAACTATTTTATTAAAAATAAAATATTCAATAAAAAATTCAAAGTAAAAAATCCTAACCTGAAGTCCAGCCAACACAATTGTTGGGCATGCATGCCATGAAAAGTAAAGTACTCTCTAAACAATTCCTAGAAGTACAAAATAATCCCCCCTCCTCAAAATTGCAGTGCCAGGAACATCCAGGCACCACAGCATCCTCAACCATATCTTTCTTACTCTGGTTTGAGAAGTAAAACCTTTTGAAGGTTAAATTTAATTAGTAGTATATAAGCTGCTCCTTTTCATATCATCAGAATCAATATATCAGTTCAGTGTGTTACTCAAGTTATTCTTGCAAGTTGAGTTTGTTTAGTCATTTCATTCAGTTATACTTTGTGAAATACACTTCTCCCTTTAAACAAGGAATTCATAAAAGGAATTCCTGGTCCTGTCCCAGGCTGATTAATGCGTTTCATTATCTTTTAATCAACACTCCACATCAAGTTATATTGAAGCCATTTGTCCTCAATAACAATCAAGGATTCAAACAGAAAATTTTACCACACTTTGAAAATTTTCAAAAAGGAAAGGATTAAAGAACTTTAAAAGTTAAAACGTTGCACAACAATAAGACCATCAACTCAATTTTGCAAAAAATTGAGATTTTAGACTAATAACATTGTTTGCACTGATTACACAGAACCTAGAAAATATCAAGCAAAGCCTTTGTGGGAAAAATATTTCTTCTCAACAAATATTATTGTAATACTTAGCGAAGGAATAAAATATTCAACTGAAAGTAATGCACCTGAACTGCAGTCCAACCCAAGGCCAAACAAACACAATCAAGGAATCGAAATCTTCATTTTTTTAAAATTCAGGTAACAATTTCAGAATAGCATACGCTTAATGCACTTCAAAAAGCAGAACAATTGAATGACAATAAGATTATCAACACAAGTTCCGAAAAAAATGAGGATTTTTAAATTTAAAAAATATTGCTTGCAATGATTCAATTCCCAAATAAAATCACGCGAAGTCTTTCTTGAAAAAATATTTTTTCTCAACAGAAATTAATGGAATATTACGAAAGAATAAAATATTCAACTCAAAGTAAGAAAAAATCCGTACTAATCCAGCCAAACTTAGAAGTCAGAAAAAAAAATTTAAAAATTTCGGCGAATACTTTAGAAAAACATAATTTTAAAGCACTTCCAAAGTCGAAAAAAAAGCTGCACGACCATCAACCCGAGTTTGCAAAAAAATTAGATTTTACAACATTAACATTGCTTGCACTGATTCAATCGAACCCTCAAGAAATCAAGCAAAGTCATCCTGGAAAATTATTTGTTCAAGATATATTAATGGAAAATCAGACATAATAAAATCTTCAACTGAAAGTAATAAATCCAAACTAAATAACTGACCCAGTCTAACCTAAAGCCCAGGAAACA